AACTCCCAGAATTCTTCAGCTAGCCAACTCAAAGTAACTAATCCCCACCCCTTAATGCGGTATACCTTGGCTAACTAACACTAAATAAATTCATGTGGATGTCAACATTGTGTTTAACCAACTTCTCCCTTAGAATTGTAGTTGCATTGTACATCTTTGTGGTCCACCTAAAGATTTCTTATTCATTCGAAGAGAATGAATAATATAACAGAAACAGAATATGGTTTGGACAATAACATTCTGAATTATTCCTTTATTTATTTATTCTGGATGTTGAGATAATAGATCTTCTAGCTGCCCAGGTTGAGAAACACGGCCTTAGAGGCTGGTTGCCGGCAAAACAGACCATGCTGTAACCTGGTTTAAAGCAACATCCTACATGGCGAAGTCTAAGATTCACATGTACGATGAAACATGGAGGGATTTTTTTTTTCTTGGCATGTCAACGGTGGACAGGCCAAGGGCTCAGTGGCTCAGTGGCCAAGACGCTGAGCTTGTCCATCAGAAAGATTGGCAGTTCGGCGGTTTGAATCCCTAGCGCCGCGTCACGGAGTGAGCTCCCGTTTCTTTGTCCCAGCTTCTGCCAACCTAGCAGTTCGAAAGCATGTTTAAAAAATGCAAGTAGAAAAATAGGGACCCCTTTGGTGGGAAGGGAACGGCGCTCCCTGCGCCTTCAGCGTTTAGTCCTGCCGGCCACAAGACCACGGAGACGTCTTGGGACAGCGCTGGCTCTTCGGCCTTGTAACGGAGATAAGCAGCGCCCCCTAGTGCTGGAAATGACTAGCGCGGATGTGCGAGGGGAACCTTTTACCTTTTACCTTACGACGGTGGGATCCGGTAACCTTCCCTGGTGTCCTTCATTCTCAGCCTAATGGAGGCTTACGCTGCGTGTCCGGATGGAGAAAGTCAGGAGTATCTTCTGAGTACCATCAAATGTGGCCAACTCCAGAGGTGAGTATTGGAGTTGGGGGTCTTTCCTCTTTCCTCACCTTCCCTCTTTCCACAAGCTCCCTCAGCCCCCAACCCAGAACATGGATGGTCCTCGACGTATGACCAGAATTGACCCCAAAGTTTCTGTTGCTAAGTGAGACATTTGTGAAGTGGGCTTTGCCCCACTTCACGTTTCTTGCCGCCGTCATTAAAAGTGAATCCCTGCAGTTGTTAAGTCAGGGACACGGTTGTTAAGTGAATCTGGCTTCCCCCACTGACTGTCCGACGGCCGTGACCCCGGGACGCTGCAGCCATCATAAATATGAGTCGGTTGCCGAGCATCTGGATTTTCAGTCGTAAGTGTGAAAAACGGTCCTAGGTCCCTTTTTTCTGTGTCGTTGAAACTTCAAACCGTTGCTGAGGACTCCCTGAACTAAGGAAGGTGCATATTAAGTGAGCCATGCCTGATTTTTACAACCTTTTTTTGCCCCGGTTGTTAAGTGAAACACATGGTCGTTAAGAGAATTCAGTTTTCCCCCATTGGCTTTTCTTGTGGGAAGCTGGCCAGGAAGGTGGCAAATATGCAATCTACAACCATCGTAAGTCCATGCCAGTTTCCAAGTGTCCACATCTTGATCATGTGACCTTAGATTTGCAGCCAAACCATGCGCATGGTTTGCTTAACAACTGGCACACTTCTTTAACGACCGTTGCAAAAAAAAAAAAGAGTCATACAATTGGTTCGCATATGTGACTGACCCCCTTCTGCAACCATCATCACTTACGACCATGATGGATAAACTTGGAGTCTGTCGGAGTCTGAATCCGAGGAGGAAGATGAGCAGCTGACAGGGAGTGGGAGTGTGGCTCCGTTGGCTGTGGAGGAGGTTGGGGAAGGGCAAAGTCTGGCTGGGCAGAGCAGGGGAGAGGTAGAACAAGGGAGAGGGAGTTCAGAGGAAGACCCAGGCCCACCACCCCCTCTTCACCCTAGGGCACACAGGGAGGAACGGAGAAGGGAGCAACATGGGTTGCATGGCTTACGAGGGAGGAAAGGGCCCTGATTCCCTTCATTAGCCACAGCTGGGAAGGGAGTTTAAAAGAGAGGCAGGCTACTGGGAGCAAACGTGACTGTATCTTGTATGGAGGTGGCTTATCTGTGTTCCTGCCATGTGTGAGTTTTGTTGTGCTTTCAAGTCTGAAATTCTTGCTCCTGCCATGCCAAACTAATTACTTCAGTTTGGCTTGTTTGGACTTTTAAGTTACAGTTTGTGTGTGCCTTGTTTTGGACTGAATTTTCTGCAAAGGCTGCTCCTGGGAGAGTTTTTCTCCAGCCAGAAGGTAACCTGGACATTGGGGCCAAAGTTGAAGCTAATAAAGGGACTCTTATTGCTTATCTGACTGTGTTGCCTTTGTGCCACGCCCCTTTGGGTCATCACGCATCGTGGTCCTAACTCAAGGACTACCTGTAAGCTGATGGGGATTGGTAGAGAGTTGCGCCCTGTAAATTGGATGGATAAATGAATAAATGACCAAAGGATCCTGAGAATTTGCCTTTTAGAACAATCTCTGACTCTTCCTTTCCCCTTGTTTTTCTGCAGAAACCTGGGTCCTTCTCTTAGCAAGATGCTGGCTCAATTGTACTGCACGCCTGGACCGCTGCCTTGAAGATCGAGAGGTTGTGAGAAGTGTGCAGTGGCTGTGTGTTTGTGTGTGGGAGAGAGAAAAGAATGACATTTACTGTGCTGTCGATGAAGAGAGAGATGCCCACAGTTGGACACTGTTTGTAAAACAGCAGGAAAGGAGCGTGCATCGAATCGTGTAGGCAAGATTTCTTTCCCAGCTTGCACGTCCTTGCACAACCCGGGAGGGAAGATTTTTTTTTTCATCTCTGCCTGCACACACACACACACACACTTACTTTCTCCAGAAAAGGGTTTGGACAAATGCTGTCAGAGTTCCCTTCAGTGCCCAATCCTGTCTAACTCTGTCCTGTTTGACTGAAAAGAACCTAAGAAAGATACTACTACCTCACATGCTAATAAAGTCCTAATTGTCCTAATACTCCAATAAAGTTTCTAGTAGTTTTTAACAAGGGTTCTCCCTTTTCTCCTTTCAACCCTCCCATCCTTCTCCCCCCTTCCTTCCTTCCTTCCTTCCTTCCTTCCTTCCTTCCTTCCTTCCTTCCTTCCTTCCTTCCTTCCTTCCTTCCTTCCTTTTCTCCCTTCCTTCCCAGTCTTCCTCCCTCTCTCCCTTCCCACAATATCTTCCTCCTTCTCTCCTTCTTCCTTTCCACAATGTGTGTTTTCCTTCCTTTCTCCCTTCTTTCCCTCCCTCCCTCTCCCTTTCCACAATGTCTTCCTTCCTTCCCTCTCTTCCTTCCCACATTTCCTTCCTTCCTTCTTTCCCTCCCTTCCTCTCTTCCTTCCCACAATACCTTCCTCCCTCCCTCCCCCCCTCTTCTGTTCCCCCCCCTTCCTTTCTTCCTTCCCCCCCTTTCCCCCCTGTCCTTCCTTCCTTCTTTCCCTCCCTTCCTCTCTTCCTTCCCAGTCTTCCTCCCTCCCTCCTTCCCTTCCTTCCCACAATGTCTTCCTTCCCTCCCTCCTTATCTCCAAATTGCAAATTTTTGTCATGTCGAGGACTAACTATGCTTGACAAATGCAGGAAAAGAGAATTCCTGATCTAACACAGCCAAGTCCTTTTCCAATTTCCTACAGTGTCCTAAGCCATCATGGGTGAAGCCAGCCAACTATGGTTTATTTAATAAACCATAATTTCCAAAATCATGTTTCAGGATTCCACATGACCCTGTTTTTAAAGTAACCCTCCTTGATTTGAACTGGAGCTGAATAGCAATAGCACTTAGACTTATATACCGCTTTATAGTGCTTTCCAACCCTCTCAAAGCGGTTTTACAGAGTCAGCCTTTTGTTCCCCCAACGATCTGGATCCTCATTTTACCCACCTCGGAAGGATGGAAGGCTGAGTCAACCTTGAGCCTGGTGAGATTCTAACTGCCATAATCGGCTGGATTATTATTGTTATTTTTAAAAATCCCCATTTTAGGATCCCCAGTAATATTCAGACTTAAGGATGAGTCATTTGCCTGTTTGATGCTTTCAAATATTACAAGTGGGAAGAAGAGCAAAAAAAAATTTTGGGCAGTCAGAGAGAAAAATAACTTGCAATCCTTCTTTAGCCCCATGACCACGGGAAGAATTTGTAATATTCGAAAGGCAAATATTATTTCTTGCAGAGTCCAAATTAACGTCTGTTTTTAGTCACGATGCTCTAATTCCACCCAGGACTTTTCATACCTTGGGGGAACAAATTAAATTAGCTTCAGAGGCTACTTTCAGTCACCTCTTATAAAGTGACTCCTCAACACTCATTTATTCCAAAATAGTAGGCTAGGTATATATTTACGGCCACAGTTGGAACTAGATATTTCATGGCTGGGGTGAGTTGTGCCTGATTTTATCGCCTTGGTGGTTCAGTGAATTGCTGCGGTTGTTAAATGGATCAGGTGGCCGTTAAGCGAACCCAGCCTTACCACCCTCACCCCCAACTGACTCTGCTTGTGGGAAGGTCACAAATGGTGGCTCGTGTGTCCCTGAGAGGCTGCCACCATTGCAAATACCTGCCAATTGCCAAGCAGCCATATTCTGGTCACATGACCATGGGGATGCCGTGATGGACACAAGTCCGAGGATCGGTTGACCGTCACTTTCTTCAACGCTGTTGGAACTTCGGTCACTAAAGGAATGATTGTAAGTTGAAAGCTACCTGATAATGTTTCTCAACCTTGGCAACTTGAAAATTGGTGGACTTCAATTCCCAGAATTCCCCAGCCATCATGGTGTTGAAGTCCAGCCCTCTTAAAGCATGCCGGCTGGGGGGTTCTGGGAGTTGAAGTCCACCCATCTTAAGGTGTGCTGGTTGGGGGATTCTGGGAATTGAAGTCCACCCATGTTAAAGCATGCTGGTTGGGGGATTCTGGGAATTGAAGTCCATCCCTCTTAAGGCATGTTGGCTGGGGAATTCTGGGAATTGAAGTCCACCCATCTTAAAGCATGCCGGCTGGGGGGTTCTGGGAGTTGAAGTCCACCCATCGTAAGGTGTGCTGGTTGGGGGATTCTGGGAATTGAAGTCCACCCATCTTAAAGCATGCTGGCTGGGGAATTCTGGGAGTTGAAATCCAGCCATCTTAAAGCATACTGACTGGGGAATTCTGGGAGTTGAAGCTACCAAGGTTGAGAAACTTTAGCCAAAGGCAGCCTTTAAGCTTTGAGGACTTCAGCTCCCAGAACTCCTCAGCCAGCCATGAAGTCCACAGTGTGTAAAGTTGCCAAGGTTGAACGAAACCTCTTTCTGATAATCTCTTGAAGCATCGCATCCTACTGAGCTCCCAAGTCGAGCAAGATCAACCTGGTTAAGTCCACCTCCTGGTGTGCTTTTCTACTCTTCCCCTCCCCTAAAACACAGATAACTTTACTCAAACTTTTGCAAAAGCCACCCAGTCTACAATTGCTCTTTGAGTAAAGCCACTCTTTCCACAGCTGACCCTAAACCTGAGCTGATTTTTCCATTTACTTCACCCTGCTCCCATTTTCCCCAAACCAGTCAAGCAACACAGACACCACAAATCCCCTCCTTTGCAGTCTTTCCTTTTTCCAGAAAACAAACTTTTTACTAAACCTCATTGGTCTTGTTTTTTTTCTTTTCTCTCTCTCTCTCTTTCTCTCGTTTTCTCTTCCAACCAGAGAAATAAAAATGGAATTCTACTGAAATTGTTCCAATGTCCTCCCTCCATCCCAGGGCAGGGATGGGTTCTTTGATCCCACTTGTTCTTCCCTGGGGAATTAGGAGAAAAAGGTTGCGTTATTGGCCAGCGTTATGGGTCAAGGGACGATGCTAAGAAAGGGTGGATTGGGTCCAACGTCTTTTTAAACTATGGTTCTGCGGGGCCTTGTCCAGGCTTGGCCACCGGTGATTCTGATGGGCAGTTGGTGGGGAAGTCCACGGAGGGCATCGGACTCCATTTTTCACACCTGTAGAGTTGTGTGTCCCTCGGTTTGTCTTCATTGTTTCTCCATCTTGGACAGACGTTTCTGCAAGAGAGAAAGGGGGGGGGGGGGAAGAGATCGGTCGTAGAACAGAATACACAGTGTCATGTCCCTGTTGGAGTCTGAATCCCAGGAGGAGGACGAACAGCTGACACAGGGAGTGGGAGTGTGGCTCCGTTGGCTGTGGAGGAAACTGGGGAAGGGCAGATCCAGCTGGGCAGAGCAGGGAAGAGGTAGAACAAGGGAGAGGGAGTTCAGAGGAAGACCCAGGCCCACCCCCCCTCTTCATCCTAGAGCACACAGGGAAGAACGGAGCAGAGAGCAACGTGGGTTGTGTGGCTTACGGGGGAGGAAAGGGCCCTGATTCCCTTCATTAGCCACAGCTGGGAAGCGAGTTTAAAAGAGATGCAAGCTGAGTGTGGCAGCTTCTGGGAACAAACATGAGTTTATCTTGTGTTGCCTTTGGTTATCTGCGTTCCTGGCGTCTTCCCAACCGGGTTGAATTACTGCCTTTCCTTCATGTCTGGAATTCCTTCTCCTGCCCAGCCAGACTAATTATCTCATTTTGCCTTGATTGGACTTATAGTTACAGTTTGTGTTGACCATGTTTTGGACTTGATTCTCTGCAGCCAAAGGCTGCTCCTGGGAGAGTTTTTCTCCAGCCCAGAAGGTAACCAGGACATTGGGGGCAAAGTTGGGGCTAATAAAGGGACCCCTACTGATTATCTGACTGGGTTGCCTTTGTGCCACGCCCCTTTGGGTCATCACACACAGGTAGAACAGCTTGCCTTCCGGAGTTGCAGGAGCTTCATTTAATAACAGCGACCAGAATTGTTTATGCGCAAAATTGGGCGGGGGGGGGTGGGGAGAGAGCAGCACTCTTAACGTCTGAGGAAAGCGCAATCGAGGAAAGTATTAAGAGTGTGTCAAGATGGATAGATTGACAATGGAAATAAAAGATAGATGAGAAACGGAATACTGTTTGATTTGGAATGCCTGGCGCAATTGGTTAAACAGTCGATATAAAGATAAATAAAGAATATGAAGTAGTACAGGTAGGATAATAAAATGTAAAATATGCATAACATGTAAAAGGGAAAAACATTTGGCGTAAGAAATACATATTGTACATATTTTAGTGGAATAACAGATATAGGAGAGTGTGTGTGTTTGTGGGTATATATATATATACATACACACACATACATACATATACATATATACACACAAACACACATGCAATAAAAATGTATGGAAATTGTATGTATACCGATACTGAAGCGTTGAAAAAAATGAAAATGGTGTTATAAAATGAGGAAAATTGTTCAATAAAAATATTTTTTTTAAAAAATAAGAAGTTGCAGGTGCTCCCATCAACTGGAAGGTTTTAAAGTAAAAGGCTGGGCAGCCACCTGTCTGGAATGGTTTAGCTTGAGTGGGGAGGGGGAGGGGGGGTTAGGCTTGATGACCTCCAAGGTCCCTTCCAACTGGGTTATTCTATTCTGCTCAAAGCACAGACTCCAACCCCAGTGCTGTGCATCTTCTCCCCTCCACCGGAGACCCACCCTATTCCCAAAGCCAACTTACCCCTCTTTTCCTTGCCACGCCAGGTAAGGGGGGGGGAGGAGATCTGCCCCCCCCATTAGAACGGGTGAGCCCCCACGAAGACGGTGAGGCGGAGCACCGAGCTGGCCTGGTAGCTCATCAAGTTATTGACGGTGACCATCTCTAAATCCAGGACAAACTCCCGGGGACCCACCACGGCCCGCGACAGGACCAACATGGCACTGATGTTGCTGATTTGCTGGAGAGGAAAACGGAGGTGAAAAAGCGCCTTCGTGATTTCCGGAGAGAAGAATGTTTTTTAGTTTTCAAACAATCCAATCAACCAAAGCTTCCCCCGCCAGCCCGCGACATCGGTTCAACCCGCTAAGTCAGGGGTGTCAAACTCAAGGCTCACGGGCCACATCTGGCCCGCGGTGGAGGTGTGTGTGCTTAGATCTAGCGAAGGACCGGCCCGTGTGTTCTGCCCACCCATCCCCAGATCCACTTTTGCTGGAAGAGGGCTGCAGGAGGCTGTCGTGGCCGAAAACAGAACCCAGGGGGCGTGTGCAGGCCACTCACCACCACCCCGAGCTCCGTTTTCTTTTTTTTTTAATTTAAATTTTTATTAAACAAAAAAGAAAGACATTTAAAAACAATGAACGTGGTTTTTAAAAACATTTAAAACATTTAAAAACATTTAAAAACAATGAACATCCTGACACACCTACTTCTCTTACCTCGTTAAGTAATATAGAAAATAATACAAATTTACATATATACATAAACCTTAGTCATTTTTGATACACTTATTCCTTTTTTTTCAACCGGTGGTAAAACTCCTCCCAAATTTTATAATCAGGTTCGGTCTTATTTTTTTAATTCTGGAGTTGATTTATCCATTTCAGGACACGTCCAAATCTTCCTAATGATTTCCATCTCATCTGGCATTTCATTACCTTTCCATCTTTGGGCAAAAGCTAACCTTGCAGCAGTGGTGATAGAGTGTAGAGTTAAGAAGATTGATTGCTTGTCAGGTATTCACCTACCACGTATATTACTGTATATGTCTTGTATATAAACCACTGTTAAATGTCTAGATCTCTTGTGTGCTGAGTTTTGCTCGTGGGTTATCTCATAGTAATAGTCACGCTGCAAACGCTCTGGCAGGATGATTACATTGATCAATTACAGATTACAATTGGAGTCCATTGGTTGTGGTGATCTGCTTAACAACCATGGCAAAAGAAGTCATAAAGCCAAGCATTATTCATTGAACAAACTCCTTGCTTAGCAAGGGATATTCTAGTTCCAATTATGGCTGTAAATTATCCAAACATTTTTTTCCTAAGGATGTAAAAAAAAAAACCAACACCCAGGAACTTTGTGATGACCATCATTGGATTAAGAGCTGGTTTTTCCATCCAGAGGGACCAAAAAGGGTGGTATGAGAAGGCCAAACCAAGCAATTGGCCACTAAATAAATAAAATCCATTAATAATCCTAAAGCCAGGGTCTCCAAACTTGGTAAATTTAAGTCTTGTGGACTTCAATTCCCAGAATTCTCCAGCCAAGATTACTGAAGATGGATAAATAAAATATAAATAAATAAAATCTATTAAGAATCCTAAAGTCAGGATCTCCAAACGTGGTTAATTTAGGATTTGTGGACTTCAACTCCCAGAATTCCCCAGCCAGGGGGGATTCTGGGAGTTGAAGCCCACAAGTCTTGAAGCTGGCACATTTGGAGACCTCTGTTCTTTGAAAGCATCCGTGTTAGAAAGCCGGGTACCAGATTCAACCTGCCGGCATCCTCACAGAAAAATGACTGTGATTGGCTGTTGCTAGGATACGGACTTACCCGGATGTAAAATTCTCCATCCTCGTTGCCTGAACGGATCTGGAAGGTGTTGTAGGCTCCTGGATAGAAGGTGGTGGCTTGAATTTGGAAAATGTCTGAGGGCACTGGCCGATCGGCCAAGATGCTCATGTACCGGTAGATAACAGAGGAAGGTTTATCATGGCAAAGGGGGTTCGTGGTCGGGCACAGACAGCGGCTGCAAGAGGAATAAACTGGTTGAAGGAGGTTGGTTGGGGTCCAGCTGTGCTGTCTCAGCTGGTTGCTAAACCAGGGATTCTCAACCATGGCTGCTGTCTTAATGTGAATGAACTTCAATTCCCAGAATTCCCCAGCTAGCATTCTTTAAGACAGAGGGACTTCAATTCCTAGAATTCCCCAGCCGGGATTATTGAAGGTGGATAAACTTCCACTCCTAGAATTCCCCCACCAGCATATCTTAAGATAACTGGACTTCCACTCCCAGAATTCCCCATCTAGCATGCTAACTGTGGAATTCTGGGAGTGGAAGTCCAGTTATCTTAAAAGTATTCTGGTGGGGGAATTCTGGGAGTAGAAGTCCAGTTATCTTAAAAGTATTCTGGTGGGGGAATTCTGGGAGTGGAAGTCCGTCCATCTTACAATTGCGGAGGATGAAAAACAGCAGCTTATACCAGCCCATGCAATCATGACCCGTCATATAAATGTGGCAGATTATTATGCAAGCACCTGGTTTTCTGAACCTGGGTTTAGAATGCTGTGTGAACCCATTTTATGGGATGTAGCACCGGATTTCTTCTTTCTCATTCTGCAGGTTGGTTAATCACTGAGCGGCGTTTCCAAATTGCTGCAATCGGACTGACTCCGGGCGGTATAATGGAGCTTTTGTGCCCCAGTCCAAGCCCAACAAGGTCTGTTTATAATTCCTTTCCTCTTTTCCTCCCCTCGCTCTCCCAACCCTCCAGACCTATCCCCACTCACTTTTCAGAGACATGGATGTAAGGCTCTTGGCAGAGTTTCTTCTCCACACACCGATACCCTCCGTGAAAGTTCACACAGTTCTGGGACTCCGTGCACTGATGGCTGTCTGTCTCGCATTCGTTAATGTCTGTGGGTGCCGGAGATAGACATACCGATAGATGGAGAAAGGAAGGAAGGAAAAGAGAAGAAAGAGGGAGGGAGGGAAGGGAAGGAGGGATGGAAGGAAGGAAAGAAAAGAGAAGAAAAAGGGAGGGAGGGAGAGTGAAGGAAGGAAGGAAAAGAGAAGAAAAAAGGAGGGAGGGATGATGAAGGAAGGGAAGGGAAGGAGGGATGGAAGGA